CTGAGCCCGCAGGTTCGAGACTCGCCTGGGCAACTTGACGAGACCTCGTCTCTACAACAAATCAAAAATTAGCCAGGCATGGTAGCGCGCGCCTGTAGTTCCAGCTACTTGGAAGGCTGAGGTGGAAGGATCACTGGAGCCCAGCAGGTCGAGGCTGCAGTGGCCGGAAGCGGCCATTGCACTCCAATCTGGGTGACAGAGTGAGACTCCAACTCAAAAAAAAAAAAAAAAAAAATTGATTCAGAAAAAACATTTGCTTTATCTTACATTTCATAGACCAATTTTATTCAAATTCTTCACACATGAGACAAGAGTGTCTCTATCAAAACTGTTCACTTTTTGAATCACAATAGTATTCTAGATTATATAAGCATTTTTAAAATCACTTAATTACATAAATCACTAAGACTTTTATTCCAAGCCAAAGTGGCTTGTCCTAAGTCACATAGGTAACAAATGGTCAAACTAAAAGTCTTCTGACACCTAGCTTACAGAGCTCTCTTTCTTTTTTTTATTAAAAGAGTGCTGGCCAGACACAATGGCTCATGCCTGTACTCCCAACACTTTGGGAAGCCAAGGGGGGAGGACGGTTTGAGACCAGCCTAGGCAACATAGCGAGAGACTGTCTCTATGAAAAATTTAAAAACTGGCTGGCTGAGAATGATGGAGGTACCTTGAAAAAAAATTAGCTGGGTGTGGTGGTGTGCACCTGAAGTCCCAGCTACTGAGAAGGCTGAGGTGGGAGGATCACTTGAGCCCAAGAGTTAGAGTTACAGTGAGCTATACAACAGCAGCCCAGCAAGAAGTGAGACCGCCTTGTTGAAGGAAAAAAAAACCCTAAGTAATTTCATTTGTGGCAACATACCCAAAGAAAATATTAACAAATGTGTGTAACTGTACAACTGCAATTGCACAAAACTCTAACTATAGTGCTATTTATAAAAGTGTATGCAACACTGGGAGTTTAGAGTTTAGTTAAGTAAATCATTGTATAGCTATAGACTCCACTAGCTCACAATGCAGCCAATCAAAATGTTACAGAAAAATATTAAATGACATGGGAAAATATTCACAAACCACTAAGTACAAAGACAGGTTATAAAACCATCAATAGGTTATTATCACATTTATTTTTTAAAGGTATAAATGAGAAGAGACAAAAACGAATACACTCCAAAATATTAAGAGGTGTTAAGAATTTGAAGAAACGTGTAAATTTCAAAAAAAAATTGACAATTTTTATAATATGACAAGTTTTATAAGAAAAGTTAATTTCTTAAAATGAAAGAACAAAAGTATTCTAAGTGAATAAACTGAAGTTGTACCTATAAATTCACAATACCATTTAATAAAATTTAAGTAGGTTAATATTCTTTCGAAAGGAGAGGCCAAAAAGTTGTAGTTTTAGAGAATAATATGATTAAGAAGGCTGTATAGGTTG